TTTTTTTTTTTTTTTTTTGATGCTATAGTTACAAGTTCAAACTTGAAGAAGGTGCTGAAATAAGGCCTCACATCCCCTTACTCAATAATCGGATATATGACAATAAATTTGAATCTCAGTTCTATATGATATCAGATACAAACAAAGTGAGTAGCTGTCCTTTCTTTTTATTATTATTTATGTAGTTAGTGTGTTTTGCTTGCAATATTTCATTCTCGTTCCCAATCTCATTTCTGCTTGTTTTATTATTTGGTTAGTGTTGCTGTTTTTTATATTTTTTTATTTTTTATTTTTTTTTGGGACTAATTTCAGTACTGTAAAAATGTAGCGTGTATATGCAATGGGTGATGTTTATCCAGATGCTGCTAAACTTCCCAAGGGCGAATATACACTGCAGCTTTACTTAAGGTATTTATAGATAAACCTTATCAAAATGTTAAACTGCTGGCTTTATACTTTTATGAGCTACACTAAAATTTGAGGATCCTTGGGGCAGTACGAAACTACAAATGGGTAGGTTTACCAAGCGTAAGAACTTGATGGGTTAAATACTGTGATTATAATTGAGATTGCACCTTGTTCAGGCACGACAATGTGCAGTACTTGGACAAGATGAAACAGTTGGTGCTGTTTATTGAGAAAAACTTGGAGGAGAAGGTGAGTTATCTTGTCAAAAACTCTCTGTTAAAGTTTGACTACTATTCACATCTTAGAAATATTTGTTTGACAAGCATATGGTTTTATCCATAGGATGCCATTCGGTTGAGCTTTTATTCACAACCTGATGGCCCAGTAACGGGTAACAGCAACTTCAGTTCTTCAGTTTTGATGCCTGGGTATACTTGGATCTTATTACTTATATCAAGCTTCCATTAGTTTTCTCATCAGTCGGTTTCCTAGTGATTCTTATTAAGTTACTATATCTTCACTGATGGTAGAGCAAAGGAAGCATTTTATGTGGCTCCTCCTGCAAAAGACAAGTTCCCCAAGGTTTTGCATCACTTGAAGTCTTTCAGCTATGCAATAGAAAATAATATCATCTTATCATCTGTTCCTTCCTAACAAAATGGGGCAATTATCATTGATGTTGTTTTGCTACACATGTACAGGGCACTTCAGCAGGGTCTGTGTTGGTTGGAGCAATCGCATATGGAAAGGTTTCTTTTGGGGTTAATAATGATGCTACAAATCCTGAAAAGAACCCTGTACGTTACACCATATCATGTATAGTTCCACCAGCGCAGGTAATTAGGGTCATTTCCGCTCTTTTTTTGTTCCATCTCCTCTGTTTTTTTTTTTACAAATTACAAGGAGAGTTTTCTACTTGATTCTTTTAAAATAAATGGTATGAAATTTACCATTACGCTGCTTATGTTATTTTTGTATTAAGACCCGGGTAACCAGGCCCATTTTCCCCCCTTAAATTCCATCTTCTTTGGTATTTTTTTTTTAGCTTGACGAGGATAAAGGTAAAGCATCTTCTTCAAGTTGCACTAAGACTGTGTCTGAGCAGTTGGAGATAGAGGTATATTTACCATATTTCGTCACCGAATTCGTTCTTTTCTTTCTCTTCGTTACTGGAAAACGATAGTCTAAAATTGTTAGTTAATGTTTTATGTTTAACTTCTCATTATCCTTGGTAATGGAACTCAACTTGGCAATCAGGTTCGAGATGCTAAAATAAGGGTTATGTCCAGCATGAAACAAAGTACTGAGGAAGAACGTTCCGATTGGAAAAAGTTATCTATGTCGCTCAAGGTATTCATATCCAACTCTTGAAGTAGTGAAATTTTTACTTGTAAAAAATTATTATAGATATTTCTGAGAAGAAGAGCCATTTTGGTGCATAAAATTGTATGTGAAACACAATTTATTTCAACGCTGATCCTGCAATCAACAAGGATCATTGAGCTCATCTTTACACTTCCAAATTTATAATGTTGAACTACCAAATATTTCATTTCGTTCTTAGATATTTTTCCTTTTGTTACTCACACCATGTGCCTTGTGCTCATGCTGCATTATGCAATCATTTTGTGCTCTGCTGTCATGTAAATGTAATCAAATAAAATTACCTGAGATTGCACATCTCAAGTCAGTTTGATGGTACACACATACAAAATAATTTACTTTTGAACATATTTTACTTTTTATTGATTGAACTTGTTAAAAATATTATTTACGCTGCATTCCGCAATCGCACGAGCATCAACGGTAGTCTATATAATAGCACAACTCATTTTATATAATTTTAGTAATAATTTTTCCATAAAAATATTTTTGGCCAATATTGGATTTTTTTAGTTAATAATTTAATTCATCTAATGATGTTTATAATATTATTTATTGGAAATGAACAATATTCTTTAACAAAGCATATGATATATGATGCTATCTATGTGTGTCAGCTGGTCTTCTACTAATATTTTGTTGATTTGCCTGTGCATCATATGCTTTCACTTATTTCAACCTTTGCAATATTGTGTTTTTATGCTCTGATATGTTTTTGTTGCTTGTATTTTGTGTTGTCTGGAGTCTCACCAGACAATTTATTTCTTAGTTTTTTGTAGATCAGTGCTAAACTCTCTTTTAATCATCCACCTTTTTGCACGTTGCAGTCAGAATATCCAAAATACACACCACTACTTGCTAAAATTTTGGAGATCTTGACATCGTGGAATAATGTCGAAGACAAAGTTCGCCATTATGAAGAAGTAAGCATTTACCTGTTTTCTGCTAACTTGTCTAATCCTTCATGATAGTTGGACAAATAAGGTAGCAAAAACGGCCTATATGGTTCAAGTTATTTGTCCGGAAGTTGAATTTTGAAGTTAGTTCTTCGATATTGAAGTTACAATTTCCCATCAGAATTAGCATGATTATATGTGCTAGATATGTGATGGTCCTTTTTTATTTTACTGCTCTGGCCCAGAAATGGCTACAATAACATGGCTATTTTGTGTTGTGATTTATCAAACATAATATGCATTTTTCAGATTATTAGAGCGGCAGATGAGGTTATTGAAAGCGTTGATACGGATGAGTTGTTGAAATATTTGTCGCAAAGTGATCCTGAAGATGAGGATGCAGAGGTGAGCAATTAATAGTTTCTATCTTCATGAAAACTACTGCTTTTTGTAGAAATAGGTCATTCATGATTTTTATCCTGGTGTAATGTTAACTGGGATCAACTTTGTGACTACAATTTACTTCTCAATGTAGAAAAAAAAGAAAATGGAGCAAACCCGCGACCAGTTGGCTGATGCTTTATATCAGAAAGGATTGGCTTTAGCAGAGATTGAATCATTGAAGGTAAACAACTAACTATACATAAGTGTTTGCTGATTTTTTTTTATTTTTTATTTTTATATATATAATAATAACTGTGCCTATTCCGAAAGTATCCACCGGATGACCCAGAACCTGGTGCTTTATATAAACTAATCTTTTTTTTTTCTTCAGTGGAAATATTTCACTCACATTTAATACATACTAAAATAACTCAACCAGTCAACCCCACTATCTTTAATATTATTCATATAATTAAATAATTCTACCCAATCATTCTTACTCATCACATCAACTTTAATTCTTTATTCATCCACTATCACTTCACATCATCTCTCTCATACGTTTACATCAAATCAACTTTTTAATTATTTTATGTTAAATTTTGTTTTAATATAAACTCAAAATTCCACTGACAACTAATCATACCACATTTTTCAAAATTAACCTGGTTAACCAAAAAAATTCATTTGAGCCGATTAATTTGTAAACAAGCACGCCCTTAAATTCTATGGTTATAATGATATGATTGTGGTAACAGGGTGTGAGTGCTGTCGATAAGGAGGAAGTTAAAGATGCATCAGATTCTACTGGCCACCTAGATTTATTCGAGCAGAACTTTAAGGAACTCAAAAAATGGTCTGACGTGAAATCATCACGATATGGGACTCTCTTTGTAACACATGAGAAACGTAAAGGGCGTCTTGGAAATGCACTAAAGGTACTCGATTGTTATTCTTTTATCTTTTATTTTTTAAAAGAGTTAGCTAGGCCGAAAATCTTGCATTACATAAAAATAAAAATGGAAACTATTACGTAATGGTGTGAAATTAATATCATCTGTTTTTTTTGTTTTTGTTTTTTTTTTTTTTTTTTTTTT